GTTTTCAAGGCAAGGTGTTTTGGAAGTGGTTTGCCATTGCCTCCTTCCTAGAGCAGAGCCCGCCTGGCAAGCGCAGGAGGCGGGGTTTCTGTTGCTTCGCGCCTTTTTCAGGCATGCGCAGCTTCCGTGTTACTGGCAACTGGTCCCGTCTTCTTTGCAAGGCGCTGCCAACATTTTTCCTCCCACCGGGCTGAGAGTACCCATTTATCTACTCTCAGTTTTCGAGCTGCTGGGTTGGCAGGAGCTGGGGAAGAAGCAGGAGCTCACTCTGCTGCGCGGAGCTGGGCTCGAACCGCTGAAGTGTTGACCATTTCTGGCCGGCAACTTTCAGCGTCATTAAGCCGCTGCGCCACCGCGTCCCCCAAAATAGAGATCAGCACTGGTCAAATGCTAAAGCTTTTAATGTTAGATCAGAAGCAACACCACCTTTAACTAAGTCGTTAAAACCAGTATCTGATCAACTAGATAATCTTGTAACAAAAGGGGGGATAGGAATTTTTTGAATTATTTTATTCACATTATTATCTTGTGGCAGACTAGCAAAACATTCAAGCAACATTTTATTGTACACAATGCGCTGCTTTCAGAGCCAATTCATACTTTACATACCTACAACTTTTCCAATGGTAATAGGAAGAAAACTCATCTCGTCTTCAAGTGTTAATTCTTTTCTAAGAGACCTGCAGTAGGTTAGTGGCAAGCTTGTCTATTTTGCAGACCATTAATCACTTTGTAGCAATCATTATCAGAACCACAGAACCACAATACCCTTACAAAACTGGAGCTAAAAAATCACATAAAATCAGGTCAGCTTTTTAGCACAAGTTCCATAAAACATCACAGAAGTGAAATCATGAACTAATTTACTTACACGTGGCTGCACTTCCTTAAGCATGGCACTAGCTTCTTCATCATAATCCAGTTTACAGGCCAAAGCTAGATCATGAGCAGCCTCTTCCCAGTGACCCAGCAGCCTGGCAAGAAGAAAATTATCCATTCCAGTCAGCATTATTTGGGACAATTTTAAAAACAATTTTAACTCATGGGTATGCATAAGAAATGCTATATGAAATATTGCATATCCAAAATGTCCCTTATTTTCAAGTTCTGCATTTTTAAAAAATGAAGAAAATTAAAATTAAAAATTAGCACCTAACATAGTGGAGTGATAAAAGCATCACTTCTTAAAAGCTTTCCAGCTAAACTGGAAAGTTTTTATTTTCTTCAATTAGGTGATTAAGATATAAAGAAAAGAGATATGGGGTTGCTTTGTTTTTTACCTGTGAGCTTTTCCTCGCCACTTGTAGGTCTGTGCTGAATCGGGATTAATCTGAATGGCTCTATCACAGTCCCTAATGGCAGCATTTGGCTTCTGCATTTTCACAAAAACACTGTCAAGGTGAAAAGTATACATCTTAAACTAAAAATGAATAAAATACCATTATGCTTTGCAGCCTAATACTCTTAACAACTAACTTGAGTTAAAATACTATTCAGCTCAATGCCCTTATCCACCTTCCACAAAATTATAAGTATTTTCAATACTTTTTCCATTCATCCCATTTAAATATATGTGAAATTTCAAATGCTCTTGTACAGTTCCATTAACGTAATTCTTGTTTAATGTTCATTACAGTTTTCTGATTCCAGGTTCATTAAAAGTAGATGTTATCAATGACATTAGTCATTATGTTTAGTTTTATCTTAAACTGCCACAAAGACACACCATATACAATTAATTCCAATATTTTTTTAGGCAAGCCCTGAATGCTATTGTATACAAGTAGTCCTCAACTTACGACCATTCAAAATTACGACAGCACTGAATGAAGGGACTTACAACCTGTGCCTGAAGTTATGGCCGTTGCACCGCCCCCATGATCATGTTATCAAACTTGGGCATTTGGCAGCCCGCCCACACTTATGACCACAGGGGTGCTGCAACTCCTCCACCCGCCTATCTTCCCCATCTGTGCCCTTTTGGCCCCCTGCTGCCCTGCGCTCTGCCACCCCAGCCGACCTTCACCACTGTCTTCTTGTTCCCGCTGCTGATGAGGCATGCCCAGCCTGGCTCCTGGGCCATATGGGGCTCGCTTTGCACAGTGAAAAAGGAAAAAGAAGCCGAAAGCCGCCCAGGAGCTGTTTGCAATGGGGCATTTCTTTGCAAAGAGCTCCTGGGTGGGGCTGGATTTGTACTGCTAAAAAGGGGGGGGGGTAAGGCAGCTTTCAGCTACTTTTTCCTTTTTTGCAATGCAAAGCCAGCCCCGTATGGCACAACAGCCAGGCTGGGCACACCTCGTCAGCAGCAGGAGCAAGAAGACAGCAATGAAGGTCAGCTGGGCTGGGAGAGTGCAGGGCAGCAAGGGTCTCAGAGTACAGGGTGGCAAGGGCGACTGGAACTGGGCTGGGATGGCTGTGGCTTTCTGGGGTGTGGCAAGCAGCCCCAGAGCTGCATGGTTCTGCAGCTGCTTGCTGCCCCGCAAAGCAGGGTGCAGGGCAGCCAAAAGGGCAGAGGTTGGGGGGAGATAGGTAGTGGGGGGAGTTGGAGGCAGAACCAAGCCCAGAATGGCTTGGATTGGGGTGGGTACTTGGCTAACAACCAATAAAATTTGCTTAATGATGGTAACGGGGATTGCCAGATTGCAGTCATTAAGTGATGCCATCACATAATGTTTTGCTTTATGACTGCATTGCTTAGAAACTGGAATTCTGGTCCCAATTGTGGTCGTACGTTGAGGACTACCTGTATACTAATAACAGTTACTGGGAGGTATACAGACTCCAAAACTGGTGATAATATATAGCCACTGTTATTAGAAACCATAAACAGTTATTGCAGAGAATTAGGGAGATGTCCTTGAAGGAAACAGGCAAGAACTGTTGTATAAGCAAAGAAGGCTGAAACATTCCTTAAGTCCTGAGAAACAAGATAGTATTCAGATAAGACTTTAGCTGGCTCTTCCCTGATTCAGTGGGATATAAGAAAGAGGGTAAGTAAAGCACAGCCTTGCAAAATTCTGTTATTATAGCCTATCTACTATACAGTTCTAGTCTTCCTATGGAATTCAAGTTATACAAATGCACCAGTATTAAAGATAAGAAAAACTGGTAACCAAAGTAAAAAAAAACAAGCAAACCTAGATATGACTATTAGGAGAAAAACATAAGCATTTACAAAAAGCTCAGATACTGCTATTGTAAAAATGCTTAAAATGACTATAAAGACTATAAAAAATCCTCGTTATTTCAGAATAAGCCAGTATATTGTTTTCAGCATTATTTTATCCAAAGTAAAAAATAAAATTGTTTCTACATATACGTTCAAAGGTTATAAAGAAATGTACTGACTATAACAGATTTTTTTTTACCAATGGTTTATTTAGTAAGAAGCTTAGAAAAGTCTATAAAAATAATTCAGAAACACAGTCCAGACTATGCTGTATTTAGGTACCTACATTTTATAGTAGAAATATTCAAATTTATAGTCTCACCTGGCTCTTTTGGCATACAGTATAGCCAAATGAGGATTCAATTTGATGGCTTCTGTGAACAGATCAATGGCTTTCGGAAGTTCACCTGAAAATATAATAAAATGTTAGTGTTATCCCAAGAAAAAATCCATTATATATTTGGAGGCCTAGAAATGTGGAAGGAAGAGAACTGATTGGACATGAAGAATGTCTAGATTTAGCAAAAATGACTTAGAAAAACAGAGATTCTAACTATCTTGGCTATTTTTAGATTTCTGAGCTACAGGTAGTCCTTGACTTATGACCACAATTGGGACTGGAATTTCCATTGCTAAGTGATGTGGTTCTAAAGCAAGACATCACATGACCACAGCACTTAGTAACCGCAATCCCGGCAGTCCTGGTTGCCATCGTTAGCTGAGAATTGTGGGTTGTTAAGCAAGTACCCACCCCAATCCAAGCCCCTCCAGGCTTGGTCCCTCCCAGCCCTGAGCCTCAGTAAGGTAAGGGACTGCCTCCAACTCCCCCCACCCGCCTATCTCTCCCCCATCTCTGCCCTTCTGGCCACCCAGCACCCTGCCTTGCAGGGTGGCAAGTAGCCCCAGACCCGTGCAGCTCTGAGGCTGCTTGCCACACCTTGGAAAGCCCCAGCCACCCCAGCCTAATCCCAGCTGCTGTTGCCCTCACCACCCTGCACTCTGACATCCTTGCCACCCTGCACTCTGCCACCCCAGCAGACCTAACTTCCTGCTTCAAAAAGTCCCTTTCCAAAACACCCCTTT